AAGAAAATAAGAACGGAAACAACTACTTGCAGAACTTCAGAATGAAACTCTTCAGTTTGCTCATTCGGTAACTGGCAAACTGGCAAGTGCAGTTCGAGCTCCTTTTATTTATCAAATAACTCAGTGACATTTACAGCGTATGAAAACCATCAGTCCAGCCGTGGAGGTAAACACAAGACACGGATGGTACGAAGAGGGAAGCAGTGCCATGCACACAAAACGTCTGCAGGTTTACGGAGGCAGATTCCTCGGTGACACTGAAGAATGTACACACCGTTAGGAGATGACAGTCTGACTGAGGAGCTTTGGCTTCACTCCAGAGTGTGTCTGCTTCATTTAAGATTCAGGAAAGGTTTAATAAGACTTCAACAGACTCAACTCTGGTGTAAAAATGTGCTTAAAGTCACCTGATTTGTTCTTCAGCTTGCAGGTTCGAGACCCATCGCTCCAGATCCGATGCTCAATGGAGATGCAGTCGCCGTAAACGTCCTTTTTGTAAGCATCCGGTCCTCTGTTTCGCAGCTTTACTGTGATATCTGCAGCACTGTGGAGCAGGAGAGTGATCTGTAGCTGTTTCACAACAACAACACACGACTTGTTCCACGATGACTCACTTTTCACTGGTCTTCACGAAGTCCTTCAGCGACGCTCCTCTGTTGGTCATGGTGGCCTTTCCACCGAGGCCCACGATCAGAGCAGTCAGGATGGCACTTTTGCCACCTCGGGAAATAATCGGAAACGACGAAGACGTGACATTAAAATCGCTGCATGTAAAACACATCACAGACTGACCGGATGCAAATAATAACAAATCATCCATTCACAGAGAATCACGAGGAAGTCGGCCTTTGAATTGTCAGTCAGCTCACAGTTGAATTATTTCTATCATTGCTCTGATCAGCTTCTTATGGGGGTTGTTTAGTGTTGTTTTCCCTCCACAGATGAAGAAACAAAGCAGCATTGTGAATGTAACTTAAATGCAACAATCGTCACTGTCTTTTCTAAGTACCCAAAAAGATTCGCTAAAAAAATCATAAAAACAGCAAATTAACAATGATTTTGAAATTATCTAATTTGCTGAGATTGAAACAAACAGTGCTAATATGAATTAAGCTTGTGTTTTTATATTACTGGCGTTTGTCATATTGTGTATTATTGTGAGTAGTTTCCTGAAATTACGAAACAAAACAAACAAACAACAACAGGACTCTGCAACTGTTTTTTTCATAAGCAATTAATCACTGAAGTCACCTTTTTTGTAATAACCCAAATTTGAATTTTCACTTGAGATTCAGGCAGAGGCAACAGATTTTGTTTTGTTGTAGTTGTTGTCATTGTTGTCATAGTAGTAGTTGTCGTTGCAGTCACAGTTGTTGTAGTCGTAGTTGCTGTGTTAATAGTTGTACTTGTGGTTGCTGTTGTTGGTCATATTGTTGTTGTCTTTGTAAGCCTTTACTACACAGAAACAAAAACGACAGAGAGACAGATGTGACAAAGGATCCCGTCCAGATCAGTACATGACGACGTTGTGGGGTTCAGTTGGCATCTCCAGCCTTCAGCCACGCTGCTGACCTGCTTTCACACTATTTCTGGGGCAAAGAAAGAGTCTAAGGATGTAACTTTGGCTTTCCTTTAACCCACGCTGCAGGTAGAAAGATCCCGGGTGTCCTCACCAGGACTCGAACCATGAGGCAACAGTGCTAACCACCGAGCCACTTTGCAGCCCATCGACACATCAGATAACGTCAAAAATCTGAAAGTTTCAATCTGCTTGAAATGAATAAAACTGAATTACAGCCCTGGCGTCCTGATGCAACAGCACATAGTGTTGATTTTCTTGTCACCAAGGATGTGTTGGAATCAACACAAGCCAAAGTCGACATCAAATCACACCACATCCAGAAATCCAGCTCTTACTTCCATTGTTGCCAACGATGAAATTCACATTAGGCCCAAAGCGGAACAGACCGAGCGAGTGGTGACACATGAAATTCTTCAGACTGATGCTTTCGATGAGGCCGATGTCTCCCTGCAAATACAAGCAGAAAACAACAACATGCAAATATTAACGAGCTGCTGAGAAGCAAACATAAAGAAGCTGATTTGTTGGGACCAAATACTGACTGTAGCAGTGGAGCTGCTGGAAGACGGTCCCTGATGGTTTGAATCATCTGGTGCAGGTTCGGTATCAACAGCTGTCACTCTGCGGCTCTTGAAAGCTGTCGCATCACTGATCAATTTGCTTTTCCTCTTACTCATTTCGAAACGAGTCACTGGAAATAGAATCAGAAGTCAGCACAATGAGGTGTTATTTCTGTTCTCTGAGAGACTTTCTACGTGAGTTCAGCGAGGACTGGCCTTAATGTCACTTTAAAGGTGGATTTCGGTAAGTTTTGTAAGGGACAACCGGAAGAAAAAAAACCCAGTCTTTGATAGGTGTAATCACTTCTACATTATCAAGTGAGTCAGTCGGTAAACGCTCTAAACAACATCTTCAAGCTGCTTCTTCTGGCAACTCAGTGACGCTTTTGAAACTGCGCAGACGACTAATTTGAGAAGCACACTTAATGCTGATATGTAACATTTTAAATGACCTCACAGGGTTAAACAATGCAGCTATAAACACTGACTTCCCAAAGCGAGAGCATGAAAAAAAAAAAACACAAGAGAGAGAAATGTGAGCCTTTTGTCTTGAAGCCAGGAAGCTACAGGAAGAACCAGCAGCAGCAGGTGTTGTCCTGCAACATGGACAAAAACACTCTGTAGGGTTTCCTCGTGCTTTTTGAATAACTCACACAGAGATTAAAGCTTTAAAGGGAGCAAAACAAACCTATTTGAACAAGCTGCGTGCATGCATGCTGTTAGAATTTACCTCCAAGTCAACCAACTTATGCAACTTGGAGAAGTTTTCCCAAAACTCTGCAACTTTTAACAAACACTGGGATCAAGTGTTTACAAAAATACACAACCAAAGTCCAACACTGCTTTTGCCAATTGCCTTAGACAGAAGCAAGCAACAGGTGACAGCAACAGATTGCACATACAGTCTGTGGCGGCAACAAAACACTTGAAACTTGCGCAAAACTGAAGCCTTTTTTCGGATCACAAGCAGCTGACAGAAACGTGGCCTACCATTGCTGGATTGCCTTCACAAATTTCATAATCCTGGAGGGGACAGGACGCCGCAGCAACACTTCCTGGTCGATGTGTGTGTGTGTGTGTGTGTGTTTCTGCTGTGACAGTTGTGGGCGTGACCTCGTTCCCAAACGCGGAACCCAGAGCGCGCTGCGTGATTGGCTCAGCTCCTACCTGCGCGCGTTCACGTAAAGTTCGCCTGTTTCGAATGAAAAGTTCAGGATGGAAACATCAGAAAGTCACGCATCAGTGGGAGTGGACATGTTTAAGCCAGTGAAAACACCTTGCTCGATACGTTGCGTGGGTTTTAGGGGGCGTTACTGGTCGCTCAGGTGCGTAAAAGTCAGAGGCTTTAAAAAGCCATGTGAGGACCCGCCTCCACCTCCTGGCGCTGAATCAAGTGGAACGAGAGGAGCGGGATGAAACGTGTCTCCTGCTGCAAACACGGTGAGACAAGAGGAAAATTCTGTGTTTTAAAAAAAAAGCTCTCAAGGTGAAGATGTAAACCAGATACAAACGTGTGCCAGTGGTGTTGAGCATTGACCGCTGATGGCTGCTTAATTGCATCACCAGCAGTTGGATTTGCAGCTGAACAGCCTGCACTGCTTCATCTAGCGTCACAGGAATGTCCCTTTTTCAGGATTATTTTACACTGTGTCAAACCTGAGAGCCACTAGAGGAGTCACAGGAGGAACCTGAGCCCTCATAAAATGATCAATAAGCCCAGAAAGTCAATCAAAACTGTTCCAAACATGATCACTTATATTTTCCCCACATGCATCTTTACACTCTTTGGGTAAAATACAAAATATAAATACATATGTGAACAATCTTCTTGTATAAAGTGTGTTGCAGCTCATAGTCATATGCAATTTTGCAAAGAGTTTGCATTTGAGACACTAACCATCTTGTGTTGAGTTTTTATATCCCCGTTTCTTTTTTTTCCTAGAAATGAAGGCTGCACCATATTGGAGAAAAATGTTGGGGTTTTTTTTTCGCAGTGACATATAATGCTATGTGGGAAAATAACAGGCATTTCCAACAAATAACTCTACTTTGAAATAACTGATCATTCCGTAATGATTGGTGTGATTTCGGAGAGAAGTGCATCTGCATTGAAAATAAAAAGTTTAGAAAATATGGTGCATTCATGGTAAAGTCATCCAAAATAATTGTTTGCTTTGGATGTTATTCAGACCTGGCCTTGCACAACTTATACAGAACTTTGTGGTGTTGATTCAGGGGCGACTGACAATAGAATGCCTGTTTTTTTGTCAGCATCATCCTTTCTGTTGCTGTAATGCTTCCATGCTACTCATCCAGTGGTTCTTTTTGCAGCCAATTCTTCCCTTTTAGTGATTCTTTCATGCTCCCAACACATTTTGTTGTGCAAACATGCAGCCCGCCTGTCACCAAACCCTTTGTCTTTTAAATAAAGTTAAGTTAAACTCAGTGTAGCCGAGAACCTCTACAACAGGACAGACTTCTCTTGTAAATTAGTTGAGAAAACTGAGAAGCGTGCATGTTTTCTTTCTCTCCTGTTTGAGTTCATTTGCCGTATTTCACATGATACTTCCTGTAATGTGACTGTTGTGCATTGCGATCTTGATGCTAACACAATATTTTGCACAGCCCTGTTAGAAATGTCAATTAAGAGGACTGACCTTTGAATTAGTGATATGAAAATACTGGGTGAACAATTACCGTAATCTCCAGACTATAAGCTCCTACCTTTTTCACATGCTTTGAACACTGCGGCTTAAACTATGATGCGGCTAATTTATGGATATTTGCGAATTTTACAAATTTGCCTCAAGACTAAAGTGACATTGAGAGCGACAACAAAAGAGAGACTGAGGAAGGAAGTGTGTGACGAAGTAATTCTGTGGCTGTTCAATGCCGACACTGAAGAAGACGACTTTAGTGGTTTTAGTGCAGGAGGAAGATGAAGATAGCGATCAATGACTTTTGCTGGTAGGTGACTGTATTTTTTATTTTTTAACCAGCTGTGTTACAGGCATTATTTGGAAAAAAGCATTTATGGTATTTGTGTATGTTACCGGTACGTATTTTATTCAAAGTTAAAGAAATCTTTTCTGTGTAAATATCTCATGTTACAACACCTACAGTTTATAGACAAGTGCGGTCTTTATATGTGCAAAACTTGTTTTCTTTTTAAAGTTAGTTGGTGCGATTTATATTCAGGTGCACTCAATAGTCTGGAAATTACGGTAATCCATGTCAGATTATAGTTGCGATTTGAAACAATGCGGTTTAAAACTACCGTGTCAGTAGTTTTACAAATTCATGACGTCCTCTTTGTGTGACAGTCACGCTTTTGACGGTGTCTCATGCTGTAAACCTCCATCACATGCTTTAAATCTGTTACACAGTGAATATTGAACTGAATTTTTAAAAAATTAGATCAGAAATCAAATTGCTATGACTGTCAAAAAAATTGTGACTAGACATTCTCCCCTAATCGTACAGCCCTGAAGAAGTTCCTGGTTATAAGACACTCCTGTGATGCTGCTGATGAGATGAGTTTTATGAGACGCTTTACACCAAAACCAAGTTGATTCTAACATACTAAAAAATGTCGGCATGTTCAACAAATAAGTAGAAATTTTGGACATTCTGGTTTATTGTGAGGTTGTCTGTAAATCCTTTGCTTGTGGTTTCTATGTGGCAATAATTTCAGAAGTCTCTGTTTGTCAGTGTTTCTGAGACCATGTGTTCTAAAGGAGGCATTTTCAGTTTGTAACTGACAAACCACCAAACTCACAGTGACCCTCGGGCCTGCTTGTGAATCAAGTTAAGTTGAACCTCAGTTGTTTGTGGCTCAGTGTGAGACGGCTGAAGGCATTAATCACTTTACAGGTGGAGTGTGTGATTCTAGAGACAGCATGTTGATGTGTGTCGATACTTAGCATGTTTAGACAGTTAGTATGTGCCTGATTTACCGTTCCTCCTACTGCCACCTTCCCATTAACTGTGCATATTCATACTCATGCTGGGCATCAGTCCAAGCCACTTTGTTCCCAGTTTACAGAGCCAATGCTGTGTACCAACACCTGTTTTGGTTTTTTTGTTTTGTAGAAAAAAATCAAAGCACACACAGAAGCAACAGATAGTTGCTCGTCCAGCTTTACTGGATTATAATCACTGATTCTACCTTCTAATGAGCATATTTGGGTATAAAGAGCCCAGATGGTCATTGCTATACGAAGATGTTGTGTTTATGTTGTTTTTAATTTTTTATTTTTTTGGAAAGTAGCCCAAGTTTGTTCCTTTTTTGTGTTATCAATACATTTGTGTTTCAAGCTGAGCATAATCTTTTCTCAAAGATAAATGCCTGCCTTTATCTGGTAAAGCCCTGAAGTCTGTTTATCAGCGCTTACAGCGGCTTTGAAGGTTTTTACAGAATCCTTAAAAACTCCTCTGCATCTGTGAAGCACATTTTACTGCTGTACACTTTTTTTTAAATCAGGTTCTAAGGGTTTAAAATGGGTACAAAATATTTTTTACTAAAACTAATTCATATTTAATTTCATATATAAAATGAAATATTTTAAACAACATGGAGAAAGGCGTCGTTTAAACACCTTTTAAAATAGAGTTGAAGACGTGTAGTGATGAAGAAAGACATCCTTTTACTTTGATATTGATGAACAAAGCCATTCTCGTTTCTTCTGCCGGTCACAAGACCTTTGATCTCATCATCACCATTGTTTAACTTTTGTCATATGTTTTTGCTACCTCCTGGCTCAGACCCCCGACACCTCCTGTCACAGACCCCGATTCCACCCCCTGTTGTTCATGTCCCATTACCTCCTGTCATTTGATTAGCAACTGTATGTTACTTTACCTCTATTCACTTCTGTATTTACATACAGGCCCCCCTTACCTCCTGTCATTTGTCTAGCAACTGTATGTTAATTTACCTCTATTCACTTCTGTATTTACATACAGGCCCCCCTNTTTTTTTTTGTAAATTTCAGAAAAAAATGTGATCACAAAATGGTACAAATCTTTTGAATATCTCAAAGGAAGCATTTTGTACATATACCATCATGTTATTTAGTTATTGTATTAACAGTTGTGATATGTACTTTTAGATAACAATCTCAGAACAAATTCATATTGTACAACCAATTACAAAAAGTTTTAAATACATTCCCGCACTTTAATTTGCAAAATGACATTTATTCGCAGTGTTTCACTGCTAGATCTTGATCAAGCAACTGGTTTGATGTCATAAAATAGATGTGAAATTAGTTCCTTTGTCTTAAACTGCATCCCAATGGACCGATAAATGCCTTGTGTTTTAAAGATGATATCAGTTCCACATTACTTTAGTACATCTATAGCAAAGTTCTCAAAAATCCTGTGGAAGATTTTATGACGTGAAGCAGTTTATTGGTTTAAAAAGACTATTTTTGTGTCTTTTCTACTTTGCAGGTGTATTTGAGCTTCACAATGTGTTCAATTCCTGGCCTTCCGACGCCCGGATCAGAAGTCCCCGTTCTCATCACCCGGGTAAACCTAAACCCCAGCTGTGGTCTTGTGGAACTGTGGGTGAACTTGGACGAAGGAAGGAAGCACCTTTATGAGACGATGAGAGAGGAAATTCAGATTCCTCAGAGAAAGTTTAATGGAACAGAAGGAAAGCCAGGTGACCTCTGTCTGGTTTGCATCAGTGACACCTGGCACAGGGCTCGGATCATGTCGATTCAAACGGAGACCTACAGTGTTTTTCTAATCGACCAGGGAAAGCCCCACATCGCCACGGGTGAAGCTTTAGCGTGGGGCCAGAGTGACAGTTTTCTCCTCCCTCCTGAGATTGAAACCGGCATACTCGCAAATGTCCTCTCCCAAGAGAATAACCAGACTGAAAAAGCCACCAAGTTTTTGATGTCTCTGCCTGGCAAGAAGTTTAAGGTACTGGTTCAACATGTGCTGATGCCAGACAGGACTATTCTCCTCGACATACCGATTGTTTCCAAGCATCTGCATAGGGTAGGAGCTGCGCAGAAGATTCCAGCAGATGAGTTTAAAAGCCTTGTACTGAAATGTCTACACGTCCCCAAAGAAGAGTCTTCTTCTGAGGACTTCCATACAACACCAGAACAGAATTCAAATGCCAGCTGCCAACTTACCGAACACGACCAATACTTTTACCCAGAGCTGTTATTGGACGCGTTCGAAACTGTGACTGTTACAGAAGTGACGGATCCACTCAATGTATTTTGCAAGCTTCATATTTTTTCCAAAGCAGTGAACATATTGTCTGAGCAGATCCATCAACATTACGAGGAGAGCTCCAGCTTTGAAATGGCACCACCGCAGACCTGTGGGGAGCCGTGTGCTGCTAAAGGAACAAATGGAAGATGGCGTCGCTCATTACTTAAACAAAACATTGTGACCAGCGATGGCGCTGTAGAAGTCCTGCATGTTGATGAAGGAAAAAGTGAAGTAATTCCTGCTGGAGACATCAAACCGCTGCTTGGGAAATTCCAGAGAATGCCAGTTGTCACGTATCTCACTTCACTTAATGGTATAAAAGATGATGGCAGAGAGTGGACTGTAGACGAGATTGATTGCTTGAAATCGCTGCTCTTGAATCACACAGTGGTGGCGAGATTCGACCAACACAAAACACCTCAGGATGTCTATTGCGTCACTCTCTATGCAGCTAATGCCGAATGCTTAAACGACTGTTTTATGGAGAAGTCGGGCCTTATTCCACACTCTAAGCCCGATGTGCAGAATGGACCAGTTACTTCAACCTTTCTCAGTTCAATTGGAGACGCAAACAAACTAAATGGAAATGTTGAAGAGTTAACAGAGAAAACTTGGCGGAGAACCAAAAACCAAGTGGTCAGTGGCAGAACGGATGATGCATCCAACTGTGCTACTAACAATATTCATGTCAAAGGAAGCTCTAAATATCAAAACCACAATGGTCATCTTTCAACTGGTGTCCCCTCTGCGGAGCACAATGCTTGTGGTGACAATGTGTTCACTGTCGGAAGCATTATTAATGTCAAAGTATCTTGCATTGAAAGTCTGAAAAGGTTCTGGTGTCAAGCAACGGAAAACCATGACTCCCTTCAACGCCTCATGAAAGACCTCCAAAACCACTATGCGTCTGCCCACCTTCAGCCGCTCACTGAATCCATCTGTGTCGCCCGTCATCCATACAATAACATGTGGTATAGAGCAAGGATCATTGCAAATCACCACTCCAGTGTTGTAGATGTAAGATTAATAGACTACGGTCAAACTCAGAAGGTCCCTCTGGAAGATGTGCGACCCATTGATCCAGCGTTCTTACGGCTGAAGGCACAGGCTTTCCAGTGTTGCTTATTCAACCAAAAGGGTGTCACTTCCACTAATGCTGCTTTAATAGAGTTTCAGATGTTTGTGGATTTAGGTGCTTCATCCAACATTGCGTTGAAATGCGTTGTAAAAGCTGTAACATCGGATGAGGAAGGCCTTCCGCTTAACATGGTAGACATTGAAATGGCATCTAATAGTGCGTGCAAGTTCCTGGCTCAGACACGTGCAAAGTCTGATGTATACAGTTACTCCACACACAACATTGAGGTGGGTGCAGAGGAAAAGGTGTGGGTTACCTCTTCAGAGAGTGCCAGTCTCTTCTACTGCCAGCTGTTCAGGAATTCTCATTGGTTTGACAAAGTGATGGAAAATGTGGCACAACTACTTGACCAGCCGCAGTGTTCAGATCACCCTCTTGGACTCAACAGCATTTGCCTCGCTAGGTACTCTGACAATCAGTGGTACAGAGGTCAAATAGTAGAAATGTCCCCAGAGCTTAAAGTGCATTTTGTGGACTATGGTGATACCCTTGCAGTCAATGAAACCAATATCCGTCCCTTCCCTACTGAAGCAAGCATGGCCAGATATGTTCCTGTGCAGGCAGTTCCATTTGGACTGTTTGACATCCCTGCAGACATACCACCAGAAGTCAACCAGTGGTTTGCAGATCACGCCATAGGCAATAGTTTCACCATTTCAGTGGTGGCAAAAGGGGAGAAGGGGAAGTTAATTGTTGAGCTGTCTGAAGGATCCCTGAGTGTTAATGAGAAAGTCCGAGAGAGGATGGCAAAACTGAAACAACAGCAGAATGACCAGCAGCTCTCTAATCGCTCAGAACTGACTACTGCCCCAACAGTAGCGCAAAAGGTCACGGAAGCATCAGAAGCAACAAAGACGGCAGACCAAAGCGGATTGCACAACATGTTTGCGAGAGATGATCTACAGATGAGCTTAAAATTGACACCTGATGCCTCTACGCCAAAGAGTTTGTATAAAGGAAGAAAACCAACCTTGGATGCCATTATTGAATACAAAGAAAGTATAGCAGAGACCTCCATACAAGGTTTCCATGGTGACTCTGAAATGACTCAAGGACTTAAAGATGTAGTGTATGTTTCCTCCATTGCTGGACCACAGTACTTCTGGTGTCAGTACAGCAACACTAAAGACCTGAACACAGTGTCAAAGCTTGCTCAGGAAGCAGGACAAGCACAAGAAGAAGCATTT